AATAATGTGCCGACGAATGTGGTTATTGCAACGAATGCATCGCAAACTGAAGAAATATTTGGCATAAGAATATTCTGCCCTATACTTAATTGGTCTTTTTTGCTACGACTGCCGGATTTTATCCCAGTTTTTATAGCTGAATTTATGGCCATAATATTAGCTCTCCAAAAATTACACAGTTCTAATACAGTAGTAGCCGTCATCACTGTCTCATTTTTTGTGTGTTCTTCTCTTTTGGCATCTGGTGAAACGCTTCTTCTAAAGCTTTTCAGAATACTAGTTCCCGCGCACCTAAAATGTCTCCACTTAATTTGGGTACCAGGACACAAGGGTTTGCTTTTAAATGAAAGCGCTGATTCTTTAGCAAAGGCGATGCTTTTGATGCCAATAATTCCGGTTTTCCCGCAGACAGCATACATCACATTTGCATGATTCCGCACCTTAACAAAAAAAAAAAAAATGCTTATCAGACCCCGTCTTGACAGCTTCTCCAGAATTTCGGCACTTATTATTTCCTCGGAAAAGTGAGTTATCGCGGTCGAAAATAATGGAAGTGGCCATAACGAAACTTCGCTGCCGGGTTACCTCCCTTAACATTTACCTGCATAGAGCATGTCAAGCGTTGTCTCCTCTGTGTACCTTCTGTAAGGAGAAGGAAACAATCAGTCATTAATTTCTATCCTGCCACCGCTCTACGTCATTGAGAAGAAAATTCGAAACACCACCTCTTCGAAACTTGGGTCTGGAAATATCCGAATCAGTTGTTTCATCATTCGGCGCCTCGCCTCTGGGCTACAGTCACAGGGATGTTTACTACGCAATAGGGGAATTTATCAGTCAGACGTAAAGATTATGGAGCTGAATTCTTCATTCTTTTAAACCTTTAAATATTATTATTCAGTAATTATTTGTTGTGAAGCCTATCCCTATTATATACGAGTGGTATTGCGAAGAAAAATAATTAACCTAACACTTGGCCTACCTAACACTCCCCTGCAATGGGTAAGAGCCATGAGGTGAGGAGAAGAAGAAGAAGAAGATAGCAACGAGCTGCTTCAGTAGTAGTGTGTCTAAGTGACTCTGTTCAGCCGGCTGAACTGAAGCCGAACTGAACTACTGTTAAGTACGGCAGCACACCGTTTAATTCAGCTTGGTGGAATGAAGATTGTACGCTTGCGTATAGGCGGCGTAAAGCTGCTTGGAAACGTTTACACCACAACCATACTCCGAAAAATTGAGTTGACTATAAATTCCACGCAGCACTGTTTAGGCGTACAGTAGCTATAGCTAAAGATAAACACAAAGCTGACTTACATTCGCGTTTATCAAAACCTGATAAAAGATCTGCCCTGTACAGGTTTCTACGGAACAAAATAATCGACGGAGGTACCAGCATATTCGCATTCAGTAGTGCTGTCTCCTAAAGACGCAACCGATTTGTTAGAGGGCATCGCGAAAGGACTTGAAGCGCATTTCGCTTCGTCATGCGTACCTATGACATTCAAAAGCTCAACCTCGGACTTTCAGGAAGTCACTATGGCGGAACTGGCAGATGTCTTACTAACTGTAAATCAAGCAGCTCCCGGTCCACATCAGATTACAAACTCTATGATTCAATTGATATTTAATTCCCAGCCCGATGAGCGTTTGAATATTGTTAACATCTCCTCACAGCACACATGGATTCCAAGTGCATGGAAAAATGCCAAAGTTGTGTTGCTGCGGAAAAATCAAAGCCTCGGATATGTCCTGGATAACATTGAGCCAATTTCGCTTACTTCAAACTTAGTTGAAAATTTGAAAAAAATTTTTCATAGAAGGTTCAGTAAATTCACCGCTCGTCAGGACATCCTTTCACCAAGGCAAGTAGAATTTAGACAGGGGTGCTCTATATGGTCGGCTCATGTTGATTTGGAAAGCCGAATTCGCCTTGCAAAAGTATCTGGTGAGCTTTCTGCATTAGTCACGTGAGATAATGCAAAAGCCTACAATAGTGTGGAACACAGTACATTTTTTTCAAGATTAGTGGACTGTGAGGTGCCCAAGTACATTATATCTTGGGTTCAGGAGTTTCTCTTTGAGAGACAATTCTTTTGTTGCCACGAGGGAATTACTTTTGCCTCATATAAGCAAACAACAGGTGTTCCACAGGGATCACTTCTGTCACCTCTTTTATTTAATACCTTATTATCATTCATTCCCGTTCATAAAAATGTTACTCTTTACGTCTACGCCGATGATATTGCTTTTTTCTCGTCATCCGGAGATATAAATAGTTTGTATGAAATCTTAGAGTCATGTTTGAGTGAGCTTGAGGTATGGCTTGGCGGGCTGTCTTTTTTGCTTAATGTTAGCAAATGTGCTCTGCTTGTATTTACTCTATCCGTTCCCGTATTTATTTATCTGCATTATCGAAATGATTTGATTCCAAGAGTAACGACACTAAAATATCTTGGCATTGCTTACGTGGGCAATTTAAATTGGCAGCAACAAATTGAATCAAACACCCGTAAAGCAGAAAGCGCCCTAGGATTACTACGCCGGTTTTGCAATAAGACTTCAGGGATGCGCAGGGACACGTTACTTATGATATACAAATTTTACGTACGCCCAATTCTGGAGTTTAGTTGCGTTCTCTTTTCCGGAAGTGCCAAGTACAAATTAAGACCTCTTATATTGCTAGAAAGGCAAGCTCTGCGACTGTGTCTCGGGCTACCTAGGTGTGTCGCGAATAGCGTGCTTATTTGTAAGGTCAAATCATTCCACTTGATGCAAGATTTCGACAGCTTACTGTGCAAACATTTTTAAAACTCTACGATGCACCCCTCTTCTGTTCACAGACAGTTTTCATCAAATATTCAGTTTCTTTCTTTAAGCGCCCGTGGTGTCATTATTGAAGACCCCAAGTAATTTTCGTCGAGTCTCTGTTATCAAATTTTCACGTTTCCCTCCAGCATTTAACTCCCCAAAGCCTATGCTCGGTGCCAGTTAACTTAATTTTCGATGACATTTTTCCAAAAAATGCCCAGTTACTTCCAAAGCATGTTCTGGAGGGCCTCCTTCAAGACCATTTCAGCCAATTTGCCAATTACGTAGTAATTTCGACGGATGCAACGCAAAATCTTCAGAAGGCTGGAGTATATAGGTATTTTTCTCATCAGCTTAATTGGTCTTTTGCGCTCCAATTGCCTAACTTCACACCAATTTATCTCGCAGAATTCCTGGCTATTACATTGGATTTCCGAAAACTAAATTATCAGCAATCAAAAGCTATTATTATTTCGGATGCTTTGTCTGTAAGTACACATCTAACGTTCGCAAAGCAGTCTCCTCTTCTCGGGAAATTATAGTCTCTCGTACCACATAGCCTATCAGAAGTTCGGTTAATTTGGGTCCCCGGGCATGCTGGAATTGTACTAAATGAAATTGCTGATTCGCTCGCTTCGGCATCTTTAAATTTCCCGGTGGTGCTAGTAGCTCCACAGTTTCCTTTTATTACTGCCGAACGATTCAAACACCTGTTAATCTTAAAAATCAACAAAACATCGCTCCTACAATCTGAATAATTTCGGCACTTGCAATTCACATGGAACACCACAAAACGCCTTTCCCGTGAATGTGAGGTGACCCTCACAAGCTTTCGCTGTAGAGTTCCTCGGTTAAATGTTTATCTCCACAAATTGGGATTTTCATTAACTAACCTATGTGCAGTTTGCAATGAACCGGAAACAATAGATCACTTTCTTCTCACATGCCGCCGCTTCGCCTCACTGCGCCGAATAATTCTTGAAAGACCGATTGGTATGACTGGATTGGCAGTTAATACATCCACCCTATTATCGCTTGTAGCCAGTCAGTTGGGTGCGGTCCGCAGTGCTATTCTGTCAGGGCTACATAAATTCATGTAGGCAACCGGAAGGATACGCTGCTAGTGGTACTGCCAGATATATCCAAATCTTTGTCCCCCTTCTTCATTCTTGCTAATTTGTTTTATATATTCTGGATTATCGAGTTCTTCTGCACTTTTTCACGTTTTTTCAAAGGAACATTATTATTGTTCTTATCTAATTTTTCTCTGTTTAGCAAGCGTTGTACAAAAAACCATCTAATATAAAGTACAGCGTGGCCAATCCCCCTTGTGGGTATGAGCCAAGATCTTCTAGGCGACAAGACAAGGCAAGATAGCCGTGGCTGACGCGTTATCCAGCAGCTTCCTATTCGGTGGTTTGGTGAACCCCCAGTTTCATAAAACCCCGAAGCGTCGACAATGGCAATGCCAGAGAACCGTAAGCGGCCTACCACCGACACCGCGCAGTCGGCCCCGAAACCCCACCGCTCCGGACAACCCGCCATCGCCCGGGGCACGCGTGAATGTGGCCGTGAGGGTGCGCCCACTGAGCGAGCACGAGTCCAAGACGTCAAGCATCATTCGCGTGGTGGGCCACAACTGCCTTGTGTTTGAAGTCAAGGCTGAAGCCGAACCCTTCTACTCTCAAGGGCAGCGGGCGTGCGGGGGCCTCGTCAAGCCAAACCAAACATTTATGTTTGATCACGTCTTTGATGAAGATAAGAACAATGAGTACATATTTGAGCACACCACCAAGGAGATGCCGACGTCGTTTTTTGATGGCTGCAATATCTTCGTGTTCGCGTATGGTGCAACTGGAGCCGGCAAGACGTTCACGATACTGGGCCCGGAGGAGTGTCCCGGAGTGGCCTCCCTGACGGCCATCGAGCTCTACTGGCGTGTCGACAAGCTCCGCTACGAGGTCCACTCGTGCGACGTGGTGGTCGCCTACCTGGAAGTCTACAACGAGGTCGTACGCGACCTCCTGACGACCCGGCCAAAGGCATCGCCCTCTCAAACCTTTCAATACACAAGGTGAAAGACTGGGGCACTGTTAGAGTGGCTCCTGAAAGGCAACAGGAACAAGTCACAGCACGCCACCGATGCCAACTCAGAGTCATCACGGTCCAATGCAATTTTAGAGGTTTACGTAATGCATACGAAGAACGTGACCAGCACGAGCAAGACAATTTGCCACTCCAAGATGAGCTTTGTCGATCTTGCTGGCTCAGACCGTGCCACTGCCATGAACGAAAACATGAAGGACCGAATACGCGAGGCCACCCAGATCAACATATCGCTGCTGGCCCTGGGCAACTACATTGGTGCCTTCTCCAAAAGTGGGGCTCAGCGGGTGCCGTACCAGGATTTGAAGCTGACGCACATCCTGAAGGACTCTCTTGGTGAAAAGTGTCGCACCCTCATGATTCTGGCCGTGTCGTCATCCAAGCTCAGCTACACCGACAAGCACAACACTGTCAAGTACGCCGAGCGGGCCATGGGGATCGAGCAGCAGGCCCAGAAAAACGCCCTCAACGTCAGCGTACACAAGCTGATGTACAACTCGCTCATAGAGGAGTACAAAGAAAACGTGGAAGGCCTTCAGCGCAAGCTCGACGAGGTCAGAAACGAGAAGTCCGAGCTCGAGGCCCAGGTGGTCGAGCTCAAACAGAGCCTCGCGACGGCCCAGCAAGATGCCCTGCTGCAAATGACACACTGACGATAGCAGCCTCGCCCCAGCTAAGCATGACGATGCCCTGTAGACGACGCCGGTCGTCCCTTCGAATGTCGAGGAGAATGAGCCCAGCGACGACAGCAGGATGGCCTACTTCCTCGACGCGGCGAGAAAGATCTATGTTGTGCAAGCGAAGATCAGTAGGCAGATCTGGGAAAACGAGACCATCATTCGCACCAGCGTGGTGAAGCAGAAATGGAAGCAGCAGATGGTGAAGACTGTCAAGGCACTCTAGGGCTGCAGTGAAGACACCTTGAAGGAGTCCGAGCGTCTTGATCAATTTTTGCAGTCTCAAGCAGCGAAACGTCTTGCTGCAAAGGAAAAGTTAAAGGCTCTTCACAATAAACGAAGGAAAAACTTTGAGTGCAGCCAAGGCTTCTTGGATGAGGCTGCCACTCCCGGTCACTGAAGGCTATGCAAGCGGAGATAGCCAATCTGGAGCTGGTCGTAGAGCGAATGGAGATGCAGAGTCAGCGACAGATGCTCGCCGAGCTCGCCGAACTTCTGGGTTGGAAGTGCAACCACTTGAGGACCTAAACAACGCTGCAGTTCCCCATTTGCGCAGCCTCTATATCATCCTGGAGGCCAAGATTTGCTGCAGCTTGGACCAACGGGATTCCCACGAGACGTTGTCAAAAAAGCCAAGGGTGCCGGTGTCACATCGGCGGATGAAGAGAACGAAAATTGAAATGGTCAACTGGATCTTGCAAGTCTGCTCCACGCTCCCGATTGGCGACTGGCCACCACAGTGCGGTCACCAGAGCCTTGACGTGCTCGAAAAAACATGGCGCACTATTTTTCGCACGTCGCACTCAATAATAATGACTTCACTTTATGTCCTTCTTTGAAAAACAGCATTCACATGTATTATCATGCAGCAGGTTGACTACAGAGTAGCACTGCGTGATAGCAATATCGTTCGAGACATGTCAGGCATCATGCCTGATTTATGCACCGTGTTTATAAGTACTTTTGTGCTTCTGTTCTGCCATTTTGCTTATTATAAATCACTCAATTATGCATCACTGAAAATATTAGGGTCATATTCAACGCCTATTCAGATTGTCATAAACTTGTCTGCTCTTTAGGACCTGTTCCTATCCCCTGGCTGCTGGTGATCGTGTGCACTTTTTCTCGGCAAATAAAAAGAGACATTAGATGAAGGGAAAACACATCTGTTTGTGAATAAAGTTACTTTGACCTGAGCAATAAAAAGCAGTCTACAGAACACATGGCTTTGCCCACAGGGCTGTCTTTTCTAGCTTCTTTCGCTTGGCCTCTTTTATAGATGAATGCAGCTATAGTTAAGCTATACAAGCGTCTAAGTTATCACGGTAACATAATGACTTGTTAAAAAAAACTGATCTATAACATTTTCCCGATATTTATACATGCGTGCAACAGGCCGTTTGTACGCAAGCCATTAAAAAAGACCCGCCTGCATCTTCCAAAAAGAGTGAGGTGCACTCGAGTAAATGCGTCACAGATTGGTGGGGGTATCGCCTGAATGTTGCGTAATTGTAGGGAATACCTATTTGTTAAATTGTCGTTATTGTTCTCATTTATTTAATGAAGGAGAAGTGCTGAATTCAAAGAGTGATGAGACGCTGACGTTGGGTTGTGCGCCACTACGGCTTGAAGGTACTTTTTTTACTTGGCACCTACTCGAGAGTCAAGCAAAGGGTCAAGTCAAGCGAAAGCCTTGTAAAGACGCCTTTGACTGAATTCTGTATGCGCAATTGAGTGCCTACATATACGGGGTGGCCAGTGAACGGTTGTGGGAAGGGGCGTCACAGTTATGCGGGCGTCTTCTTTGGCTGGCACGATACGCGAGCATGGACAGTGGGGTTGTCGACGGCGCCGTCAACGCCGGATCTTCGACATCATGCGAATAAGAAATGTTCCGTATTTAAAAATGCTGCTCTAAAACGACTGAATTACGTGGCACGTACACCCCGCCTGACAGGTAAAGGATACCACCCACTGTGCCCCCGCCGGCCGAAAGGGAGTGTCCTTTTCTTTCATGCTGAGGCAAGCTACTTGGTATACAGTTCTCAGTTGATGCAAAAAATGCCGTGCTGTCACCTATAGCGCGCAACGTAACAAAGTGGGCACAACTCATTCAGCGTCAACACTCGGTATTATATAAGCTCACGTCTCAAACAGCTCTTAACACGCCAGTGCTCAGGACAAATGCTTTTTCTTTCGATGACCTGTAGCTGTAGGGCTTTGCCAATAGGAAATTTGAGACGCAGATCAAATGCGAATGTAGTAGCATAATTACAAGTAATCGAATATGAATTGCATGCTATTCAAATAGTAAGAATACAATTTTCAGAACAGTTACTTCAACAATATTTAATGTGGAATTAACAGTCAGAAACATTAATAGAAGGATCGTTACGACTTACTTTAACCATTAAAAATGTCAATATTAGCATAACTGGTGTAAACTCATATAGGCAGTTCCCGCCAATGAAACAATTTTAAGTGTTCACTGAAATACAGCGGTTAATTTAGAGCTCAAATGTTTTTTTTTCGCAACCTTTTCAATAAAAGTGATGAAATCATACATATTTCCACCTGATGTTCTGTGCCGTTGAACAGTGCGCCAGTTCTATGCCAGTGAATGAAGAAGACGAAGACGAGCAACCCGTGCCAGGAAAAAGAAGCGTTCTTCGCTGCTGGCCAGCACGCGCTGTCCGGGGACTGCGTTCGTGCCTGCGCCTGCGTTCCTTGTTCCATCCTCAGGGTTGCGGTCAAGTAGCCGGCGGTTACCTTTATTTTATTTTATTTTATTAGATTTACCTCTTGTTCCGCAACTGTTTTAGTGCATTGATAAGTGTAACTTCTTCTTATTTCATGTTTGTTTCTTCTCCGGGCCAGAGGCCTGCCCTCTGGTCAGCCTCTGTTCCCCCTCAAGATCTTCCTCTGGAGTTGTTTCTCCGCAATGGAACCCGTAGCGTTCCTGTCGCTTTGGTGCCGACCACCGGTGGGTTCATCGGCATGAAAAACCCCAAGACAATCCAAGCGGAACTTCGTGCGATCACTCCCCACTCTCTACTAATAACAGAGGTTCATCAGTTTGGACGCGGGGGGATACTATGCTGCTCACCAGACAAGGCCTGCATCTAAGACCTTCTGAAGTGCACTACTTTTGCATCACATCCGGTGAGCTCTTTTATCCCACCTCATCTAGCTTGCTGCAAAGGATTGGTTCGGGGGGTAGACGCAAGTCTAAGCCCAGCAGAAGTCTTGGACATCTTTTCCCCAGCAGGTGTTATTTCTGTTTACCGCTGTACCAAACAGGAAAACCAACAGAAAGTTCCCACTGAAACTGTAATTGCCACATTCGCTGGAACAGATCGCCCTTCGGAGATCAAGGCATGACCGCTTATCTATAAGGGCGAAGCTTTGGCTCTCCGTCCGCTGCAATGTGCTAAATGTTGGCGCTTTGGACACAGTACTAAAGGTTGTCGATCGGAGACTCGATGCCGCATATGCGGAGCCATATACGGGCCTGGTCATAGTACTGCTGAGTGTCAATCAGACAATAAGACATGCTGTTTGTGCAAGGCAAATCACGCTGCAGACGATCCTAACTGCCCTGCAAGATCAAAGGAACTTCAGGTGATTGAAATCATTGAAAGGAGACGATGCTCTCGTAGAGAAGCAATTGCAGAAATTCAAAGCAGGAATCAGGGTTATGCCGGTATAGCAGCTCGTCCACCTCTTTCTATGGATGCATCACTTTCTCAGTATATTTCTGCTAAGGTAGAAAAGGCCGTAGAAAAAGTATTAGAAAAATTTTTACTCAATCTGTCTGACTCACTCAATAGTATTATGGATTCACAGATGTCGGGTGCATCTGATCGAATAACTAAGCGTACCCAACCTCCTAGTGCCTCAATTAGTAAACCTGCCGAACATCAGTCAGATGTCTTTATCGATAATGAGGCAATGCTTTCCAGTCCTAACACAACTGAGCAGGAAGGTATATCGGATTCAGAATCAATAATTAATCGGGATGTAGATATGGATGCTCGCCTTTTGAAACGCACCAGATCACCCACTAGCAAACTTAATAATTCTTCTCATCCAAAAACAAAAAAAAGAGTGTGAAGGAACCTAGGACTAAAGCGGACTTCTTAAAAGATAGTATCTTAGATCAAGCAGTTGCTACTGCTTGCTTATCATCATAGGGTACCTTAGAGTACTTCAGTGGAACTGCCGTTCAATTCTCTCTGCAACTACAGACTTATTATACCTAATTTCTCAACAATCTCCAGACGTCACAATTTTACAAGAAAGTTGGCTGTCTGCTGATCAAAACTTCTATCTAAAAGACTATCAGTGCTTTCGACTGGACCGAGACTCACGTGGTGGAGGATTAATGTTTTTCATTTCATCCAAAATTTGCCATAAAGCACACTTAGTTTACCAACAAATATCACACGATTATGAAGTATTGGTTCTGGAAATTCACTTTCCCGGATGCGCGCCACTATCCATAGTCAACAACTACTTTCCGGCTGGAATACAAGATGAAAGAGCCCTTGACTTGACTGCGAGTTTTTGCAGAAACAGTATGCTATTTGCGGGAGACTTCAATTCCCATCACGTTTCATGGCGATTCCGCACTGATTCATCAGGAAAACGGTTGTGGGACTGGACTAATCGGAATAACCTTATTTGTTGGAACTCCAGAGTTCCGACATTCGTTCGATGTAATTCGAGGTCCGTCTTAGATTTGACATTTGCTAGCTCAAGTGTGACAATATTGTCTTGGACTGTTCTTGATACTGCTACAAGTAGTGAACACTGCCCCCTGGTATTTGAAGTCAGCATTCCTTTAGTGACGGTAGATCGCCAGGTGCAAAGTTTTGTAAACTACTCTAAATTTAAAAAGAAAATACAGTCAACGCTGTGTTTCTTGCCCAATATGGAAGCAAATATGAAAGCTATGAGCCTTTGTTCCACCCTAA